CCATGGGGTTCTCCAGGCAAGAAAACTGGAGTGGGTTGCCATGCCCTCCTCCAGGGTATCTTCCTGAAGCAGGGATCGAACCCATGTCTCTTATGTCTTCTGCATTGGCAGGTGGGTTCTTTACCACTAGCACCACCTGGGAAGCCCAAGTTCCTTCATATCTTCTATTAACCAGGTAATCACATGGTCCTATCTCTATCAATAGGATTTACCTGGTAAACCAGTGTGAGTCTGTCTCAGGGATAGTGTCAGTCCCCACCTGGTGCGCTGCATGGGTCTACTGGACTCGGGCTGCCAGTTGATCTTCAGGGACTCTGGCCACCAGTATTGTATGCTGCATTTCCTCGAGGGTGCAACAGTGGGGTAGTAAGATCTGTAAATCTCCTCAGGTGAGATCAAAAGTTCTCACTAGTTGGGTAAATCCCTTTGAAAAAGCTCAGGATCCTCAGATAAACTTCTCAACTTGTCCTCTGCCATACTTAGATCAGACATTGAGAAAGGTACATGGACCTCTTACTGTTCCCTGATTTCTATCAGGACCTTCTCTCAGAGGCAAAACTGAAGGGGCGGTTGGTTTGTAACTTATAACCGCTGTGAGTGCAAGCTGGGCTAAGGATGGGCCCCTTGAGTATCTCAGGATACAAAGAAGAGATTCCTGAATATGAGGGGAGGCACCTCTTTTCATTTCTAGCTAATCCCCCTGGGGTAATAGCCTTAGCTGGAGGAGAGGCTCCGGCCAGCAGGGTGTCTGCTGAGGTTAGTACAGTGGCTTCCCCCGGGGCAATAGCTCCTCCCAGCAGTCAGGGGGTAGCTCCTACTGAAAAAGCGGCTCCTAACTGCAATATAGTATAACTCAGGGACCCATTGAGTGGTCACTTTTCTTGGCTTCCTAACTCATATTGTAGGTTGTTGTTCGTGGTGGTTTAGTCGTTAAGTCATGTCTGACTCTTGTGACGCTATGGACTGTAGCCCACCAGGCTCCTCTGTCCATGGGATTTCCCAGGCAAGAACACTGGAGTGGGTAGCCATTTCCTTCTCCAGGATATCTTCCTGACCCAGGGATCAAACTTGTGTCTCTTGTGTCTCCTGCATTGCAGGCAGATTCTTTACCTCTGAGCCACCAGGGAAGCCCATATAGTAGGTTATGTAGCTAATAAATATTTTTCTTTTTAATTTCTGTTGTCTGAATCTTTCCCAATCCTGGAGGATATGGCCCAGAGGGGCAATTTGTTGGGACTGATGCAGTCTGATTCATTTCAGACCCAAACCTGAGGAGATGTCTCTAATTCCCATGCTATCCAAAATTCCATTCAAGTCAAAATCCATCCATAATTTGGTCAAGGATTGCCCTTATGATTTTAGATGCTATCTCTTCCAAGGTATTTTTCCAACCAGGTGTTACTACCTGAAAAGTTGCTGAAAGGGAATGGAACAGAAGTTATCCCCAGTGGTATCCATGATGAGTGGGGGTTGTTCTGGTCGCAAGCTGGAAATAAAGTGTCAACACTTGTAAGGATCAGAGGGAGGGGAGTAAAAGAAGAAGTTCATCTTGGTGGTCACACAGGTGTTCTGGGGTTAACAAAAGAAAGAAATAGAGCAGGAGTGATTAAGAATGTAGGAGCAAAAACTCAGAGTCATAGAACAGAGATGAATAGTTCTGTCTTGGACCTGCTGCTGGATGTGCATAAGCATACAGGGTTGACCCACCAGTCAAAAATGAGCGGACACTGGCAGAGCATCCTCCCCAGTACACCCGGCTTATGGTGTCCTATTGGCCCCTTTAGGACTGAGAGCTAACTCTCCGCGTTTTCTTACCTTATGACTGTCCCTTTGTGACTCGCCAGCTGAAACTGTGCACCTCAGTTTGGGACTTGAACCCGTGGTCTTTTAGCTGCGATCACACACCTGGTTTCAGGACTTAATGAAACTCAGGTTTTTGATGTCTCATCACAGAAAAAATTCAGTGACAGACAAAGTGATAGGTAAGAAATAGATTTGGAGAGAAACATATTCCATAGACAGTATGGGCCATCTTGGAAGGAGAGAGAGGCTTTGAAATATGGTTTGGTTAGTAATTTCATAAGCTGATGAGTGAGAGGATTATTCCAACTATTTTGGGGAGAGGGGAGAAACTTTCAGAAATTGGGCCTCTGCCCACTTTTTGATTTTTGATGGTTGTACTTGGAACCATCATGGTGCCTGTGAGTGAGTCATCTAACATGCTGGTGTACAGTGAGCATATACTGAGGCTCAAGGTCTAGTGGAAGCTGACTAGCTTGCCATCTTGAAAAGTGTTAGTTGCTCAGTTGTGTCCAACTCTGTGATCCCATGGACTGTAGCCTGCCAGACTTTGCTGTCCATGGGATTCTCCAGGCAAGAATATTGAAGTGGGTAGCTCTTCCCTCCTCCAGGGGATATTCCTGACTCAGGGATCAAACCTAGGTTTCCTGCATTGCAGCCAGATTCTTGACCATCTGAGGATCTATTTAATTCTAATCAGTCTATGTCGTGTTTTCAGGCTATATCATTTTTTAAACTTTTGTGCCATGCCCCCTTCCCTTCTATTTCAGCACCATGATCCATCAAATCATTCTGGGCAGAAATTTAGCAACCCCACATAACTCCTTTTCCCCTCAGCTTTCACAAATAATCATAAATTTTTGTCTATATCGCCTTATAAATTCTTGCTGAATCTCTTGTATTCTGTATCTCTATTGCCCTAGGCTCTCCTCTCCAATTAGCCTCTTCTCTTAGTACTCTTTCAATTATTCCTGTAGACAGGAATATTCCTGTCCATCCATCAGATTTCATTTCCATGTTCTCTCATTGACTCTGTGATTGTGTTCTGAGAACTCTACAGCTTGTGTTTAATTCATATCTATTTCTTTTATAACCCAAATCCACAATTGGGCACTTACAAATAAAATTTATTCTTACCTGAAGTTTAAGGTGATAATTGTAATCCAAGGTGCTTCTGGGTATTATCCCTTAGGTTCATTATCTCAAGGATAGCCCTCAAATACAAGCTATATAGAATAAATAATGCTTTATAAGGCCCAGTTTTTGGAAAGAGTCCCATTTAAAGAAATGTAGTTCAAAAAGATAAATAAATAAAGAAGTGTAGTTCAGTGGGCAAAAAGAATTAAAAAGAAACTACAATATATTTTAAAATTACAAATATGAGTACCCCTTGACTTACAATATCATTTCTAAGAATTTATAGAAAAATGGCACTTTTACAAGACTGCTTATTGCAATGTTATTTGTAATCACAAAAAATTTGAGACAGTCTGATGTTCCTAAGAAATTAAAGGGTTTAGTCATTCAAGGGAATACTCTATGACAATTTTAAAAAGAATAAGAAAGTTTTTTTAATGTACAGATTTGGGAAGATCTTCAAGATTTATTATTAAGTGGAAAATCAAGGAATAGAATAGTATACACTACCATTTTATTTACGAAAAAAGAAAAGGAAAGGAAACATACAAGGCAAGAGCAGACTAAGGTCAGGTGCTTTATGCCTAAATGAAAATAACATGGTACTAGAGTAGAAAATAACACAAAAGACTTAATGTAGTTGATGGGGGCAGGCGGGTAGAGTCTAGGAAAGGCCTTTCGGAGAAATTAATATTCAAGCAGACACCTGCATCTGCCTGTAATGAGGGAGACCTGGGTTCAATTTCTGGGTTGGGAAGATCCCTGGAGGAGGGCATGGCAACCCACTCCAGTATTCTTGCCAGGAGAATCCCCATGGACACAGGAGCCTGGTGGGTTTGCAAAGGAGTCCATGGGTTCGCAAAGAGTTGGACATGACTGACCAACTAAGCACAGATCATACACCTGGAGGAGGGTGGTTGCTAGTGTGGCTACAATCCAGGGGAGAAACATCTCTGGCCTGTGCAGAAGCTCTTGAGGAAGAGAGTTCAGGGAGGCCAGAAAGGAGGCTGAAGAGACCACAAAGCTGGATCAAAGGGAGGAGGAAGGTGTGAGGTGAGCCTGGAAAGATGACAGGGACCAGCCAGCACCACCTAGGCCTTATGGGCCAAGTGATGGAACCTGGTGTTCCTGAGAGCATTAGGAATCCACTGGCGAAAAGTGATATGATCCAATTCATGTTTTAGGAAGGTCACTTGGGCTGCAACTTAATGGGATTTGGAGTGGGATTGGGGAAAGAGGAATGGAAAATAGTGGAAGCTGAGAAATTAGTTTATTGCAGTAGTTCTGGTGAGAGGGGATGGAGAGTTGAATCAATATATTATTTATTTTTAACTTATTTGTTCATTTTTGGCTGCATGCGGGCTTTCTCTTGTTGCAGTAAGCAGAGGCTACTCGTTTTGTGGGGTACGGGCTTCTCACTGCAATGGATTCTCTTGCTGGGGAGCGCAAGCTCTAGGGTCTGTGGGCACCGTAGTTGTGGTGCATGGGCTTTGTGGCCTCATGGTATGTGGGATCTTCCTGGACTACAGGGCGAACCCGTGTCCCCTGCATTGCAAGGCAGATTCTTAACCACTGGACCACCAGGGAAGTCCAAACCAAGATATTCCAATGGAAATGGGAAGAAGTGGTCAATTTCATGTCTATTTAGGAGGTAAAATCAAGACTTGACAGGAGTTTGGATGTGGGTAATGAGAAAGGGAGAAGTGTCCAAACACATTCCTGCCATTTTGTTCTACCAAAAATACTCATTGAGCTGAACAATGTACTTTCTGGCTTAAGAGTTTATATATCTCTGTCCATTCTTAACACCAGCACAACCCCAGCTCCAGGGCAGAGGAACGGATTTCTTTTTAAACAGAAACAATGCAAATGCTGTATTAATATCATATCACAGAGTAAATAGATTCTGTGGGTCAGTGAGAATTTAATCATTACTTACATTTTTTTTCTGTGGGTAAATAGATTCACAACTTAGAGATGAACTTCTTGACCATTATTTATAAGTTGGAATTAACTTTAGAAAGAAAAATAAACAAGTTTTACATTTAGCTTGTGTTTTGCAGGCCTGTCAGAGAGTTTTCCATGCCAAGAGGAGCAAACACTTTCTGTTACTGTATAAAAGCAAACGTGATTATCACTGGAGGTAAGAGCACAGTCCACGTTACGCAGAGATTTTCTACTTTGCAAATGGTGCTCTCATTCTTTAGCACAGTTACAGAGTTTCCACACACCTGTAGCACTTCACTGCTAACAAAACCTTTTAGAGAATTTTTAAGTTTGTATAAAGTCAAATCTATCATTCTTTTTCTTTGTGGCTTTTTGGTTTGTTGGTAGACTTAGAAAGGCCCTCCCTAGCCTGAGAGTGTGCGAAACAAATTCTCCTATATTTACTACAACTTTGTTTGTTTTACAGTTTACCTTTAATCTCTCTAGAATCTGTTTCAGTGTGTGAGAGCATGGATTCCTAGCCTAGGTCCCATGTGTGGACTTTAAGGGAGTCCTGTAGCCCCTTAGGCTGAATAACTGTGTATCTACATGCATTTTTCTGGAGAGAGTCCAAAATTTTATCAAATCCTCAAAAGAGTTCTTGACAAAAAGATCAAAAGCCAATGGTTTAACATTAACAGAGAAGCAGACTAATGATAGAGTGCTTAAAACTACCAACGTTTAATGGCTCAGATTATCTGCTGAGAGTAAGCGGAAAGATGACAAATATAAGAAACTTGAGGAGAAAGATGGGAGGACTGAGCTATTCTGCTGGCCTGACTCCTTATCTGTCAAGCTGGGACACTAAGACTATGATGGTTTTCAGCCTGGGCTCTGGAGTCAGACTGTCTAGGAACAAATACTAGTTTTTTTTTTTTTTTTACTAGCAAGCCTTGGATAGGTTATTTAACTCCTCTAAGTTTCAATCTCAGGCTTCCCAGGTGGTGCAGTGGTAAAGAATCCACCTGCCAATGCAGAAGACTCGAGACACAGGTTTGATACCTGGGCTGGGAAGATCTCCTGGAGTAGGAAGTGGCAACCCACACCAGTATTATTGCCTGGAAATTTTCATGAACAGAGGAGCCAGGCAGGCTACAGTCCCCGGGGTTGCAAACAGTCGGACACAACTGAGCGACTGAGCGTGCACACACAATACCTTAATGCATAAGTGAGTAGGAACATCTTAAATCAATAAAAGGGCTCATAGAATATTTATGAGAATTCAAATTTATGTATGTGAATACAATGATTACAAAACAGCCTTGACAAGAAGAAGCAGATTCAAAGCAAGTCAATCATAGCATCCTGGAAGAAACAGACTGTGATTTCATATTAGAAGAAAGATAGTGAGAGTCACTCAGTCGTGTCCAACTCTTTGTGACCCCATAGGCTATACAGTCCTTGGAATTCTCCAGGCCAGAATTCTGGAGTGGGTAGCCTTTCTCTTCTCCAGGGGATCTTCCCAATCCAGAGATGGAACCCAGGTCTCCCACATTGCAGGCGGATTCTTTACCAGCTGAGCCACAAGGGAAACCCAAGAATACTGGAGTGGGTAGCCTATCCCATCCCCAGCAGATCTTTCTGACCCAGGAATCGAACTGGAGTCTCCTGACTGCAGGCAGATTCTTTACCAACTGAGCTATTAGGATATGATTAAAGATGAGAAAGACTCTTAAACCGTGACCACCTGCATCCCTGAGAACATAAACAATCTTCACACGTCCTTCTTTCAGGAGATGATAAAGTGCTCCGGTTGTGGCACCCCAACATCAGCACCAAGCCAGTGGGGAAACTTGTGGGGCACATGTTCAGTATCACCGAGATTGTGACAAATGAGAAAGAGCAACATGTTATCAGCCTTTCTTCTGCGAAGGTAACCAAAAGAAAACAACAAAAATGAAAGAGAATGATTCTTTCCCTTAAAGTCAACTATTGGAAAATATAGAATACATACAGTCTTTCACTGAAATAGCTGATAGTCAAATAGAAAAATATTGTTAATATGGATAAGAAAATAAGAAGTCACTGTTCGCTGTTTCTGTTGATATCAACATAAGAAAGAACATATGTTTAAAGACAAGAGTAAAAGGAATATAACATTGGTAAGGGAGCCATTATTCTCAATAGTAAAACATAATGTGGCCCTTCTGTGATCATTAAAGACAGAAAAAATAAGGATTTCTAGACTCAGAAAACAAACTTATGGTTACCAAAAGGGCAAGTGGGTGGGAGAGAGATAAATTAGGAGTTTTAGATTAGCATATACAAACTACTATATATAAAATAGATAAACAACTATTAGATAAACAAAATAAAGGTCCTACTGTATAGCACAGAGAAGGAAATGGCAACCCACTCCAGTATCCTTGCCTGGAGAATCCCTGGACAGAGGAGCCTGGTGGGCTGCAGTCCATGGGGTCACAAGAGTCGGACATGAATGAGTGACGAAACCACCACCACTGTATAGCACAGGGAACTATATCAATATCCTGTGATAAACCATAGTGGAAAAGAATACGAAAAACAATATATATATTTGTATAACTGAATCACTTTTCTCTACACCAGGAACTAACATAACATTGCAAATCAACCATACTTCAATTTTTAAAAAAGCAAAGAAAAAAAAGTATTTCTGTTGTTGCTATCACTGCACAGTGTTTTAAATGTTCTAAACAAAGTAATAAAAAAGAAAAAATGACTTATGACTATTAGAAATGAGGAGACTATATTTGCAAATAATGTGATTGCTGGAAAAATTCAAGAAAACCAGCTTAAAAGTTTTAGGACAGATAAATTCAGTAAAGTGGATGGTTATATTCATGATTGCAATTTATAAAAATAACTTTCTGTGTAAGAATAGAAACCACTTAGGAAAAAATGGTCAAATGGTTAGCATTCACAAGAGCAAAATTGTATGAAATGCTTAGAAATAATCTTAACAAACAATATTCACTATTAATGTTAAGATAACTATGAAGTTCTGAGGTACATTTATTTAAGAACATGAATGTAGGGACTTTCCTAAATGAGAGTATAGTACTGTAAAAGATATTCTGCATCAAATTAAGCTATGTATATTTAATGCTATTTAGGATTATTTAGGAGCTTCCCAGGTGGTTCTAGTGGTAGAGAACCCACCTGCCAATGCAGGAGATATAAGAGACATGTATTCAATCCCTGGGTCAGGAAGATCCCCTAGAGGAGGTCATGGCAACCCACTCCAGTACTCTTGCCTGGAGAATCCAATGGATAGAAAAGCCTGGTGGGCTGCAGGCCATAGGGTCACAGTTGGACACGACTGAAGCGACTTAGCACAGACAGGAAAGGATTATTTAGACCACAGTTTGCCAAATCTAAAGTTACTATAATAGTGTTGACATACAAAAATATCCTAGAAACTTTAGAAAATAAGAGTGCAAGATGACACTTTCCCTATCAGATATTAAAACATTTAATAAAGCCTCAGTAAATAGAACAGCAGTCAATGCAGCAATAGACACATCTATGAAACAAGAGAAGATTCACATATGAGTGTGAATGGGAATTTCATATATGATAGAAGTAGCATTTAAGTCTGTGAGCAAAAGATGGTTTGTTCATTAAATGTTGGGAAAACTGATTAACCATATTAGGAAAAATAAGTAATCAAATCATTATTTCATAATTAACAACAAAATACATTCCATATGGATTAAATATTTTAAATGTAAAATATAAAACTATAGTAGTAAAAGTTTCCAGAAGAAAACACAGGTTAATATTCATATAGCCATCAGGTAATTCCTATGAATAACATCTACAACTAAAGAAAAAAAAATGTGACTACCTAAACATTCAAACTGTAAATTATTATAAAAGCTGTCATTTATCAAATGCTTACCAAGAGTCAGGCACTGTCCTCATTATTTTATATCACAAGTTATTTGATACTGGTAACAATCCTGTAATTATCCCGATTTTGCACATGTAAATAAAAATGATATCTATATACTTGCATTAAATAAACTTACCCCCATAAAAAAGGTTAAGACAGATAGCAGAGGGGGAAGTGTGTAACATAAATGACATAAACTGGAATAATATTCTTATACAAATAAAAAAAAAACTTTAACAAATCAGTAGGAAAATAGGATGAAGGAAGGAGAAGGGAAAGAATACAGGCATGTTTACACAGTGCTGCTGGGGTTAAAGCTGGCAAAAATTTGGGGGGCATTTATTCTAATAAAATAATCAGATAAGTGCCCAGAGATCAATGTAAAAGGACATTTATGGTGCTATTGCTTGTATTGGCTTAAAAAAGAAAAAAGAAAAGGAATAAAAAGGAAGATTAAAAGGAAAGGTAAGGGATAGGGAGTGAGAAATTCAGTTTCTAAAAACAAGGCTTTTATTCAGTAATTTTTTTCCCTCAGTTTTATTGAGATATAATTGATATATAACACTGTATGAGATTAAGATTAATGTATCATTAAGCATAATGATCTGACTTACATTCATCATGAAATGATTATTACCACAGTTGGTTTAATGAGCATTCATTATCTAATATTGAAACCAAAAAATGGAAAAAAATGTAATTAAAAAAACTTTGTAATGAAAATGCTTAGGATTTATTATCTTAGCAACTTTCATATATGTCATACATCAGTGTTAGCTATAGTTATTATGCTATACATTACACCCCTACTGCTTATATATCTTCTAACTGGAAGTTTGTATCATTTGACCACCTTTCTAATTCCTCCTCTGCTTAAATCAGCAATTTATGCTATCTCTTGTCACATAGACTTTCAACATCATATGGATGAATATTGATATGAAAATGTATACACAATGTATTATGCAAAATATAAAATAGTATATAAGATATTAACCTGTTTTTAATATATGTGTCTATCATATATTATCAGGGATAATAGTGATTATGTGGGTAGCAAGGTTGTGGATGGATTTAATTTTTCTTCCCTTTTTGTGTTTTTCTTTTCTTTCTCTTTCTTGTATTTATATCTTTTTAACAAAAAATATACATTACTTTTATAATAAGACTTTTTAATTTTTAAAATGGTACTGGAAAGATAGTAAGATTGTTGAGACATAAAAACTAAAACATTATGATGGAGATTCCTTTAAAAACTAGGAATAAAACCACCATATGACCCAGCAATCCCACTCCTAGGCATATACCCTGAGGAAATCAAAATTGAAAAAGACACATGTATCCCATTGTTCATTGCAGCACTATTTACAATAGCTAGAACATGGAAGCAACTTAGATGTCCTTTGACAGATGAATGGATAAAGAAATTGTGGTGCATATACACAATGGAATATTACTCAGCCATAAAAAGGAACACATTTGAGTCAGTTCTACTGAGGTGGATGAACCTAGAACCTATTATACAGAGCGAAGTNTAACATGGAAACTTACAGTACCATATGTGAAATAGACGGCCAATGGGAATTTGTTGTATGTCTCAGGAAACTCAAACAGGGGCTCTGTACCAACCTAGAGGGGTGGGATGGGGAGGGAGATGGAAGGGAGGTTGAAGAGGGAGGGGGTGTATATATACCCATGACTGATTTGGCTTCCCTGGTGGCTCAGATGGTTAAGTGTCTGCCTCCAATGTGGGAGACCTGGGTTCGATCCCTGGGTGGGGAAGATCCTCTGGAGAAGGAAATTGCAACCCACTCCATTACTTTTGCCTGGAAAATCCCATGGGAGGAGGCTGGTAGGCTACAGTCCACGGGGTCGCAAAGAGTCGGACACGACTGAGTGCCTTTACTTTACTTACTTACTATAACTGATTCCTGTTGAGGTTTGACAGAAAGCAACAAAATTCTGTAAAGCAATTATCCTTCAATTAATAAATAAATAAATTAAAACAAACAAAAAAAGTTTCAGGCCATTCATGTCCAGAGGTGAAGAGACAGCAGAGACAAGCTTTCCAGTTTCTTTTAGATGTAGTGAGTATATTCAGAGATGTTCTTTCAAGCACCCTAGCAGCTCTACTTGGGCAAAGTACTTAATATCTTTCCCCTCAATTTCTTTGTCTGTAAATCATAGTGGTGTTTAGCTCACAACACTGCTATAGAGAGATCATAGCAGTCATAGCAAGCATTTCTTTCTTGAGTGTCCTATCTGTATCAGGTACTGTTCTGGGTTCTGGAGACAGAAAACTGAACCAGGCAGTCAGGGCCCTCTCCACAGGAAGTTTATATTCTAGGGGAAGAGGGAGACAAGCAAAGTAACAAACACATTAGAAAACAGAATGATAACTATTACAATGAATAGAAAATACAGCAATGTGATATGATTATCACCTCTGAAGAGGTGACGTAAATGTTGAAACCTGAATGACCAGAGGAACCAGCCCCATGAAGATCTTGGAAAGGAGCAATTTAGACACAAAAAATGGCAATCCAGGCACACGCATATTTTTGCTAAAGCTAGCTCCCTCTTCTCCTTCTCCGTCTCCTTCTCCTCCCCCTTTCTCCTTCTTCTCAGCAAAAATCATAGATAGGTTTTACACATTTAACATTCCTACACATTACTTCATATAAATTAGCTTTCATCACATTGAGGTTTAATAAATCACCATGGGTAGCCATATGCCTACTCTGTGCCTTTTTCTAAGCACTTAAAGTAGATTTTCATCCTTCCTCTGAGATTGCACACTTTCCACCAGGATATTATTTTCTTCTGCAACTGATAAAATTCTTTTTCTAGTTGCAGAGTTCAAGTATTTAATAGCTATGCCACATCTATTGCTTCCAAAGAACTGAAAAACATTGAAAAATAGGGAGAAATATAAATTCCAGTTGCTTTTATTTTATTAACAAAAACAAGAATAACGGTTGACAGGTGACGCTAGT